TGTTCAGCTGTTCTGCACTGTTGTTGTGTAAGAGGATAGTAGTATCGTCTGCGTACATGATACATTCAGACGTACTGTTTTCCTTGATCATGATAGGGAAGTCATTTGTAAATAGAACTTACAAGACAGGGCCAAGCACAGACCCTTGTGGTACTCCTCTCTTGACCGGGTGTGGCTCTGATATGTATGTTTTCTTCCTTCCATTGGATGATTCTTGAGTTTCGACAACCTGCGTTCGTCCGTGAAGGTAGTTAGCAAACCATGCATTCGCCCTGCCTTTAATTCCAAGGGATGCTAGGTTTTTTGTAATTAGCTTGTGGCCCAGACAATCAAATGCCTTGCTGTAGTCAAGCATTACTGCTGAGACATGTTTGCGTTCTTCTAGCTGGTCGATGATGAACTCAACAATATTTGTAACTGCACTTGATGTGGACCTTCCCTTAATGAATCCATGTTGGTTTTGGCTGATGAGTTTTTCTTCTGCAAAAAAAAACCATTAATTGGGTTAGAACAATTTTTTCAATTACTTGGAGAATACGGATATGAATGAAATAGGGCGGTAGTTTTCAACATCTGTAGCAGAGCCTTTTTTTGTTTAGGGTATATTTTTGAGATCTTCAGCAAGGATGGGAACTGGCTTAGCGAAAAAGATTTATTGATGATAGTTGCTAACGGAATCACAAGTTGATTTGCACAGTGTTTTACAGCTTTAGCTGGGATCTCGTCAATTCCACACGATAGCTTGGGTTTTAAGGTTGCTATGGCGTCTTTTACATCTCTGATGGTTACGGGTTGAAACTGAAATTGACGTGGGTTTGAATCTATGCATGGTGAGTGATTTGAATGTTGATTTGTGGTTAGGGTTTTTTCGCCAATCTGAGAGAAGTAGAGGTTGAGATGGTTTGCTATAGTTTTAGGATTTTCTTCCAGCTGTCCGTCTATTTTTAGTTGAAATTTGTGTTCCAGTGATTGTTTGGTTTTACGCTCAGAGTTTACGACATTCCACAAGGCTTTGGATTTATTTTGTGATTGAGGAATATGGTTGGATATAGCTTTTTGTTGAAGATTTCTCAATTTTAGGTCATAATCTTTTTTTCTAGCAGTCATGATGGCTTTATCAGCAATAGACCCTGAGATCTGAAATGCTTTCAGGGAGTTCAGATAGATCTCTTTTAAGTGACTCGCCTGTTTGTCACGGTATGCGCTAGGTTTTGTTTTGATAATTAATAACTGTGTAACTTTCCAGTCTCCTGCATAGAGTGGATGAGATTGTCATCCTAGTTAGTTACTAGCTAGTTTGAGTTGTTGTACAACCTGACACTATTCAATGTATATATTGTACAAAATAATGAATATAGAAATTTGATTTGAATTGAATTGAAATGTGAATTTAAAGCAGTACCGTCCGGGTCGTCGGGTCACGTCATATGCACGCTTGAGGCAACCTCTTTTTCAGTAGCCTTGGGAATCGATGTCATAGGACACTATATTACGGCTAAAGCAACAAGAGATGCAAATTTCAAAATATTTTTTAAAAATTACAAAAGAATTTATAGAAAACTAATTAGAGCAGCGAAATCCTATGAAATTAGAAAAAAATTAAAAGCTAGTGACAATATCTCAAAATCAGCATGGGGTGTGATCAACAATATAAAAGGCCAGAAAAATGAAAAACCTATTCATGTAAGAATAAACAGTGGCGTAGTCACAGAACCTTTGATTGTGGCAAACTACCTTAATGATTATTTTTCCCAAGTAGCAATTTCAAATGTGACATCCTTGAGAAATATGCAGCCAGTGATAGGTGATAGCCCCATTATGTCTATGGGACTTTTCCCCGTAACAGAGGAGGAAGTTGCAACTGTCATAAAACAATTACCGTCGAAGAGATCAACAGATGTCGATGGCATGTCTGTGTGGCTTCTCAAGCAACTGTCTGAGCATATATTACGTCCATTGACGGAAGCAGTCAATGCATCTTTTAAGAGTGGGTGTTTCCCTGAAGATCTGAAAAGGGCAAAAATTATTCCAATCTTTAAAAAGGGGGACCCACTCAATGCCAACAACTACCGTCCTATCTCTCTCTTGCCTGTGTTTAGCAAAATCTTTGAAAAACTGTTCTTGATTCAGTTGTTAGCATTCCTCAATCATCACAACATTTTTTCATTTGATCAATTCGGGTTCAGAAGGGGGAAATGTTCAGTGGATGCAGTGCATAGCCTTGGCAGTAAGGTAGTTGAGAATCTGGACAAGCATCACCCGACACTCAGTGTCTTTCTAGATCTTACCAAGGCTTTTGACTGCGTCGACCACAGTATCCTCTTGTCAAAATTAGAACACTACGGTGTTCGAGGTGTTCCGTTGAATTGGATAAAATCTTACCTTTCAAACAGAACTCAACAGGTGCAGGTCTCAAATCATCTTTCAAAACCAGCTCTGTTAAAGTATGGTGTCCCGCAGGGATCCATTCTTGGTCCAATTTTATTTTTAATTTACGTTAACGATCTGTCTTCAGCATCTGGATCTAGCGAATTTTCAGTATGCTGATGATACGACTCTCTGTTGCAGTGCCAACAATCTTCCAAATCTAGAAATCAAAACTTTTGTAGATCTAAATTCATGTGTTCAATTTTTTGAAAACATCAATTTGAAAATAAATTCTCAAAATAGTCCAGTCAAGGAATGAGGTGTAGAGTGCGTGAGCAGGTAACTAAGCGATTCCTTCAGAAACTTGTTCAGGGGGCTTAGGGTGTTAACATACCAAAAGTCCTGACTCCTAGGTGGTGAGCCAGGGGGTGGAGGGGGGAAAAAGGGGGGGGAAAAAGGTACGCATTTTGGGTTTTTTGATTATATCTCGAAAAATATCAACTTTTTGTATACTATAGTAAATTATAAAATTGAAGAAGATTAAATTTTCTACAAGAAAAGTATATAATGTGTTTATTTTGGTTCAACAGATTACGAGTTATAACTTATTTAATTGATATCTTATTAAAATACTCCTTCCATAAGAAATACATGTAAATTAGTATGCGAAATGGGGCGAATCCTATCCGCCCAAAGGAAATATAAATGATATTCTGGAAATCTTGACAAAATTTCCAATAATTTGACACTTTAATCATTAAAATTGATCCAAAATTAAGGCGAGGGCGAGGTAACAAAATGTCGAGTTTTGGTGGTTTTTTATTGGAAATATAAAAAAAAAACTTAAATCATCCCATTTTTAAACGCTCACCCTCGCTTTAATTTTTGACAATATTTCATGATTTAAGTGTCAAATTACTGGAAATTTTGTCAAGATTTCCAGAATATCAGTTATATTTCCTTTGGGCGGATAGGATTCGCCCCATTTCGCATACTAATTTACATGTATTTCTTATGGAAGGAGTATTTTAATAAGATATCAATTAAATAAGTTATAACTCGTAATCTGTTGAGCCAAAATAAACACATTATATACTTTTCTTGTAGAAAATTTAATCTTCTTCAATTTTATAATTTACTATAGTATACAAAAAGTTGATAGTTTTCGAGATATAATCAAAAAACCCAAAATGCGTACCTTTATCCCCCCCTTTTTCCCCCCTCCACCCCCTGGCTCACCACCTAGGAGTCAGGACTTTTGGTATGTTAACACCCTAAGCCCCCTGAACAAGTTTCTGAAGGAATCGCTTAGTTACCTGCTCACGCACTCTACACCTACTTTTGGATCATTCATTGACTGGACTAAAAAACAAATTTCATCCGTTTTTACGGGCACCAAGTAAGACTGTAACGGTCATGATTGATGACTCACAAATTGAACAAGTCAATTCTTTTAAATTTCTGGGCGTCACCATTGACCGTGGGCTCACTTGGAGTAACCACCTTGACAACGTCTGCACGAGGATATCTTCAGGCTGTTTTGCCTTAAGAGTCCTCTCAAAATTTTGTCCAGAAAATGTCTTGCTAATGGCCTACTTTGGCCTTATTTACCCCCATCTTTCTTATGGAATTGCAATTTGGGGTGGATGTGCAGAAGCGGACTTCCACAGGTTGTTCCGTCTTCAAAAGAGAGCACTCAGAATAGTGGCTAAACTACAGGTGAGAGAGTCTTGTAGGGCCGTCTTCAGGGAGCTAGGCCTGCTTACTCTTGCCTCTCTGTATATCTTGGAAGCTGCCACGTTTTCCAAATTTAAATGCAGCCTAACACAAGGCCAGGACATTCACTCGTATTCAACTAGAGGCAGAGAACAATATAGGTTGGCCCAAAACAGGTCCCGTGCAGCCTCAAGCTTGCCCTCTCAGACGGGGGTGAGGTTTTTGAATAGTCTTCCTGAACAAATAAGGAAAGAAAGGAACGAAAAACGGTTCAAACGGATTTTAAAAAGATATCTGATTAATAAAGAATATTACACTGTGGGTGAGTTTTTTGATACAAATGAGTAGATGGTGTTCGGCTGCTCTGAGGTTCTAAACAATCAAATGACAAGTTCTGTGTAATTTTTTAATCATTCGTATTATTAATTGTTTTATGCTGTTGTATTTATTTGTTTTGCTGTTGCTTGTTATGCCTGTATTAAATGTTGACGGATGCCATGCAATTGTATATTTGTTTCACGGCAATAAAGATATTATTATTATTATTATAGGATGAAAGTTATATCTTGAAGTTGAGTATCAATAGGCATTTTAAGGATCTGTACGGACATTGTAAGTAACATAAAGAGAAGGAGAATGAGATGATCTGGGGTTGCGAAATAATGAATCCCAATTGAAGAAAACAACCAAATGTAATTCTGAAGGAAGACGTCCTTGTTGGAGACCAATACAGACAAGAGATGGTCGGACCAGTCAAGGTCAGACACAGAGAACAGGTATTGTTGATGCTGCTCAATATCACCTTTTATATAGTAAGTAAGAGTAAGTAAGTAATAGTTATTTCGTTATTTAAGACCTATTCCAAGTTTTAATCCACCTCCTAACAAAACGATGATTTAACACTCATTGTTTTCCAGGTATTAGTGGAGAACAAGCCCGATCTGATGGGAAGAGCAATAGATGTGGACATAGTCGAGACTAAGAAACATTGCATGATAGGAAGAATTGTTACTGATTCATCAGTCTCATGTAAAGCATCTTCTCAGCTGTGCACTTTCTTGCCCTCTTCTATATATTCAATTGTTTTTATTGCTCTGCTGGCCAGACTGTTCTGGTCATTATTTGTAAATATATAAAACTTGTACATTTTGTAAAATTTGATTTCAATTTACATGAATTATTCTTTCCCTTTTTGCCCTCAAAGAATCGGTTCAGTTTGTTTGGTAAAAAATGTGATGCCTGTTTTGATTAAACCTAGATATTTCTTACAATAAAACTGTTGATTTTGAAAAGTGTATCTTTAATTTTACTTAATTAACATATGGCTTTTTGTGAAGGGAAATCTTTAAATCTTAGATAGGCCTACTGAAACAATTTTTCCCATCAGGTTTTAAACACTCTCCCCTTAGGACCGAAGAAGATTTTCACAGGTATTATGTGTGAATTTGAGAGATACATTACACTTGGGGCAGGCCACACTAGGGTGTACACGTTCATTGTCCGAGATGATGTGAGTGCAGTACTCGTGTATTCTCTATTGGAGCTTCATCAGCAGAATCTTAAACCTAGTAGCAGGGCATTGTGGCTATGGGAGTGAACATACTCCCTTTACAATAGAAGCTAAATTTTGCATACCTATAAATAATGTTGTAATTTTATAATCTACATAATAGTTGTCAAATTTATTTTATTTTATGTCAAATCTGTTTACTTTTCTGCGGTAATTGTTTTTTGTACTTTTCAGCCTGGTAAGTAAAAGTCTTTGTTTATTTGACTAATATTAATTGTATGCTGTAATTTGAGGGACTGTATAATATTCTAATATTTTAACTAATTTGTACTGTATTTATTTATTTTGATTTTCTTGGTTGATTTTAATCTTTACTTATTTCGACTAATAATTGGTTTTCGTTTTTATATTGATTTTGGTTGTGCATTGATTTATATGTTATACAATCTACATATATTATAATATGCAAGCAATTTTCTTTTACGGAGTCATAACTTGATAATGACTGGACAGGTTTGATTTTAATGTTTGATGTCTGAAATTAAAGGAATTTTCATGTAGATGTGCAAATACGTCTCGGAATGTTAAGAAAGGGCATGAAGTTTAGTTAAAAACTAAATTTTAGAAACGGTGGCGCTGATGCTAACTGTTGACATTGTAACAAACTCAAATTCACTTAGTTTACAACTAAACATATGGACATGGTTTGAAATAGTTCTTTAGGTTAACCACAGACTGCAGGGCTTCCTGCTTTACTTCCAGAGCAAAGCCGGAATTTTAATTTTATTTTAATATACGTTTACTAAGCCTGGTTCATAAAAATAAAGCATTTCCTAGCAAGACTTGAAAACAAATTGTTTGTAATAGTAGAATTGATTTACAGCAGAATTAAATTGAATAAATCATAAATCTGCTGTAATTGGCATTCATCACAATGTTGTGCTGACTATAATCCTTAATATCGTTATAATTTTCTTTATCACCAGGTCATGATCATCATCAGGTCTCAACAGTGGCGTAGATACAGGGGGGGGGGGATCAGGGGGATATATCCCCCCCTTCAACCTATAATGGGTAAAAAAGTTGTAATAACATTTAAAAAATAATGTTTTAACGTATGCAATGAAATAGTGAATCTTTTTAGTTTTACTTCTATTGTATTAACCTTGGTTTTCGTAAGTATACTTTCAATATCAATAAATCGTAAATAAACTGCAATTCCAGTGAAAGAAGAATGGTTTTTGCGCGCGAAACAGAGTACAGACACAAGTCACGGAAGGTCATCAGCCTATCCGCCCCTCCCCCTTCCGTCACCACTTCACCTTTTACACCTACCTGAAATTAATTCTTTTAACGTGAGCAATTAATATAGTTTATCAAATTTCATGCCTATTGTACTAAGCTTGTTTGTTTGTACGTATACTTTCATTATCGATGAATAAATGGAAACAGATGAACTACATGCCGGTAGCCGGTAGCAGTGGTGGGGTGGGATATTTGCGCGCCAAACAGACGTGAGTCACCGGACGTTCTTGTTCAACCGCCCATCGACACCCTCCTCTCCTCCTCCAACCCGGCACCCACACTACGCTTGATCTGTCGTCTGGTGTTAATTATTGTGCCAGTGTGTTTTTATGATTTTCGTATTCCGTGGTGTCTCATGAGGGTTCCGAGTGTCTGTGAAGTAAACTGATCGGGTTTTTTGCCCCGAAAAGAAAAATTTGAAGGCGTTAGCTGGTGTGGCAATGGGACAACGAAGTTAAGTGATTTTTATTACTCGCCTTTGAAATACAATTTTTTAAATAGGCCAAGTCACATTATAGTATATTACGTTACTAGTTCTGAAAATAAGTGTTTACCGGACGAGTGTGGTTGTTCCCGTGCGAGACAAAGTCAAGTACGGGATTACCATACAAGTCCAGTACACACATTTTGGACGAGTTATGTACAATAGTTTACGCCATACTACTAAATCTTTATGAATCTTTATATATGACCACCAACTAAAAGACCAAAAATCACTAGTCATAATCTCTTAGAGAGGTTATGTTTTTGTTTAAAAACACTCACTGCCACGCAAATACAGTATAATAAGCTGATTGGTGACCGATAAAACTCATTACAGTACAGTAGTACGCATTGAAACCCCATTTGATTAAGTTGGCGGCAAACAGCGCTGTTTTCTGGGGGACTGGGACGGGTGGCGTCGTTCGGTAATCCAGCTACTAGGAGGTCACCAATTGTGGATATTTATAGGCATGCACTGTGGACGCGATACTCCCTAGTGTGGATTAACGTCCGCACGAGTGAGTACTACGACTATCCGCAGTACTATCATGATAATTAGACCAATTCTTAAATACCAAAGGCAAAAATGTGGTTCGGATTCCACTATAAAACTGTAGGTCCCTTGGTTGCCATTAGCTGTTTGGGCTATTAATTAACAGCTGTGTCTAAGGAATATGTCGACCTTAGTCACTAACAAGGCTACAACATCGTGCCACTCATCCTACACTCATCTCCATTCATACTTGGCTTAAAATACCTTCTTTGTATGGTCGCCATTTCACTAAAAAGTATTAAAGTATTAAATCCTTGCGTGGGAAGTTCATCAAAATAGTGTAGTGTGGCGTAAACATATTAATCAAAATATTCAGTGTTAAAGGATAGAGAAACATAACGTTAAAATTATATCATATAACGAAAAGCCTAGCCTAAGTACTTAAAAATAAATGTAATAAAAAGTTATTTTTCTCAAATTTTCAGGGGGAGGTATTCCAGATCCCCCCCCTCCCTGTATCCCCCCCATGACAAGAGTCTATCTACGCCACTGGGTCTCAAAAATATCATCGTCTTCTGTGATCACGGTAAAATCCCCAACATATCCCGCAGTATCAGAAACGTCATCATAATTATCTCCCGCGATAGCAGCAAAAGCCTGAATATCTCTTATCGTTCACAAAATCATTATCATCAGCGGCATGATATCTTGATCGCGATTGACATTATCGTCGTCTCCCGCAAAATCTTAGTGATCGTAGTGATGCGGCAAAATCTTGAACTTCTCCCGCAAATCGTAGACATTATCGTCGTCTCCCACGGTCAGGAAAACGTCATCATAGTCTTCCGCGATCGTGACAAAATCATAAATCTATTGACCACGCGTATTTTGCAGACACATTTTACAAACCTGATCGTAAAAAGCTCGTCTCGAACTCGATTTTCCAACTTTGTCCTTGAGCTTGCAGGCTCGGCTCGGCTCAGCACAAAAATCAAGCCGCTCGCACACCCCTAAATCTTTTCCTTAACTTAATAAGTTTTTTCTACCATGGATTCACTGCCTATCTTCTACATGTTCTCCGTTATATGCTTGAAGAACCAATGTTGAGTCAGTTTACCAACTCTGACCGCACATTGTGGTGCATTTCATTAGATATTGCACTGTGCTTTCAAGTGCACCTCTCTGCAACTTAATATTTTCAAACATGCTAACAACAATGGAACAGCTGATGAACCAAAAATAACTTAAAAACACAAGCTTTAAATCTAGCCATACTTGACTTTTCAACGACCCTTGGTAATTAAGCCGTAGATTTGATTTATCCTTTTGTGGACATTCTGTATTTATTATTATACATATCCATGTGTAGGTTGTCATCCCTAATTTCTGGTTTACTCCCTTTCTACTTTCATTCCCAACACCACCACCTAGGATGATTATTAAATCTAAGCATGGTGTAACTTTCCCACCAGCTCATCTAGAAGAGTATAAAATTGGTCTTTATCCTCATGCTCATCCTCCGAGTCTAATGTAGGTGTGTAAATACTGACTAGTGATTTATAAAATATATAGTGTATACAATATAGGTTAATTATAGTGTATACAATATAATTATCTAGTGTATTAACAATTTTACTCAACCCAATATTGCTCATCCTTTCATATATTGCTTAAAAATGTATCAAAACGTCTGCCACTTTCTTGTTTGGGACAAAACCATAGTACTGTAATAATATCATCTTATTGACTATAATAAATTAGACTTTTGATTGTATTTATTCTTCCTGAAAAAGGAAAGTGCAACCACAGCCATGTTAGCAGATGCACTTATTTGATTTAGTTCATCTGCTAACATGTCACTATGATAACAGCTACATCTGGAGCAAGTGACTCACTTGCTCAAGATGTAGCTGTTATCATGGTTTTGGACGATTAAATGCTGGGCACACACTAAATTTTTTTTGACCAATCATGGTTTATAGGTCTGTGTTTGACGTAACTAGAATAGAACCCATCACCTGTTTGCCCCACATACTGTCTTGGCATTTAATTGTGTATACTCTTGTCCTTAGATTTTATCTCTTGTTCTGTTTGTGACAGGTTGTTTCGAGGACGGTTTGTAATTTTGGATGTTAATTCTATTATCTGCCTATGAAGCTCTTTGGATAGGGAATTCTGTAGCGTGCGGGAATATTCAACAAAAACATACTTCTTACGCTTGTCCTTTAGTTTGACCTCTCTATTATGGTGTTTGGTAATAAGTTTGTCTACAAGCCCGCTATTGCAGCCATTATATGTGGCTATATGCTTGATTATATTGTATTATCTATATATTAATTTGAAACTGTTTTTCTTTGTGACAGCTATTTTGAGAGAACGGCTGGGCGTAGAAACTCGGTAGAGGTGTCTAAAGAAAGGTCCTGGTCTGTAGATGAGCCATCAAAAGAGAAACATGGAGAATTCCCTCGGGGCTCTGCCCCAGTGGCCTTTAAATTCCCATC